AGTGGAAGCTTAAAACGGCCTCCCCATGCAAAATCCCCAAAGTTAAGCAAAAAATGGCTATTAAATGGCACTTAGACGATGCTAAAAAGGGTTAAAACCCTTAGCTTTTTCATAATCCCATAGAGATCTCCCTAAGTCCAAGGAATTCCTAATAATTTGCCTATAGCTCACAAGAAACCCTAAGACTACCAGACAAAATTTTGAAATATGGGCAACCCGACATGGTCATGCTGTTTTGTTCACAGGTTGGTGTGGTCACACCGACTCCATAGCATAATTACATTAGGCTCGCTGTCTTGCAACTTAGTCACGCCGCATTAGAGTGTGACAACGCCGAAGGAAACCTCCGCATAACTGCTGCAAGGTCATGGGGTTGAAACTCTTCCAAACAAAACCCTCATACACACAAATGAAGTGATGGAACAAGAGGAAGAAAAATGAAGGATGAAGGAGAAGAAGGGGAACAACTCCTTTGCTCTCCGCTCGAGGAAGATGAAGGGTCAGTTTGGGGCAACAACAACTTATTGAATAAACTGCTGATAAGTTAGGTGCGCTGGCTACTACAAATTTTTATTTTTTTTGAAAAAGTCAGACAACTGCAAAAAAAACCGACACCGCACCTAGATAGGTGCGGTGTGAAAACGCTGTTTTTAATGTTTTTAAAACGCATAAGTTGTCAAAACACAGTTTACCCAAACATGTTAGATGTATTTTCAAAACGCCACCACACCATATAAGTTACCCCAAACGGGCCCGAAGGGTCCTCAAATATTTTGCTCCAAGCTCTATGTCCAAAAAAACCTTAAGTGTGTACATTTATAATTATTAGCTTATAACTCTAATTTCCCCTAATTCAGTAGAAGATTAAATTCATGTATTTATCATTCATAGTTTATTATTTCAATTGCACTAGGTTCAGTATTTTTTTTTCTCATTTTAGATTTATTCACATAAAAATTGAGGTGTCTCGTTCTACTTACTAATCTTTTATCATTCGAGTGTGTGCTTGTCGGCATTATTTTTTGTGTGGGGTTTGCCCGTAAGAAGCTGTCGGTCATCGGAATCGAAATCCCGTCGCCCGCTTCGGAAGGACGTTTTAAAAATTTTAGTTTTGAAAAAGATGAAGTCAAACTGGCCCCATAATTTTCATAGTTTAGATGAAAGAGAACTTTACCTCAAATCCTGTATTTATCCCAAAGGAAGAACACAAGAATTGAGGGTGAGACTCAATCAAATAAACTAGAGAAAGTTATGACATCTGTTTGGTCTGCGAAACCAATGTATTGGCCGACAAGTTCCCCTATTTAATATAACGAATTAAATAGGGTTTATATTATGCTGGGTTCGTACCTAAGAATACTCTCGATAAAAGTCAAGAAAAATTATCTTCAAGGAGTTCAAATGGTAAGGACATTTCAAAGATATCGGACTAAGAAGTGTGGAAGGAGATTGGTTCAAATTTGGAACATTTTGTTTTGGAGTCCAGAGGAGGAAACACTAGAGGATGTCACGGATCCTAAGGAGAACTTCAGTGACTTCCCAAGCTATCCTATTATTTGGCTTCGATTTAGGAGAAATCATTTAGATGTCTCATCCTGCATTTTTTTATTTATTAGGATTTACATTTGTGTGAAGCAATCAACACAAATAACCTTGAAGATGTGAGGGTTTAAGTCATGACAAACGACTACCTCGGAATTCTAAGGCAAATTAGGGCTTAGATTGTACGACAGTATTGTACAAATGCCTAAAAGATGTGTTTGAGGATTTATGTTGCACTAAGCAAACAACCTCGAATTCCTATGGCTTTATTGTTTAAAGCTAAAGAAGGATGTGTTGTTGTAGATCCTCTTGCTGTTGAAGATGGCCAGACT